TCCCTGCCCACTCACTGCTCCCCCACACTGGCCCACCCCTCCACACTCACTGCTCCCCCACACTGGCCCGTCCCTGCCCACTCACTGCTCCCCCACACTGGCCCACCCCTCCCCACTCACTGTTCCCTCACACTGGCCTGTCCCTACCCACTCTTCCCCGACACTGGCCTGTCCCTGCCCACTTGCTGCCCCCCACACTGGCCTGTCCCTACCCACTCACTGTTCCCTCACACTGGCCTGTCCCTACCCACTCACTCTTCCCCGACACTGGCCCATCCCTGCCCACTTGCTGCCCCCCACACTGGCCCATCCCTGCCCACTTGCTGCCCCCCACACTGGCCCGTCCCTGCCCACTCGCTGCTCATCCATACTGGCCTGTACCTGCCCACTCACTGTTCCCCCAACTGGCCCATCCCTGCCCACTTGCTATTTCCTCTGGCACAGGTGGGTCTCATCTTCCATTTTGAACTGGATTTGGGGGTTTATGGTCCATGGGCCATGGACTCCTGTGGCTGGTATTTACCTAGTCAGTGAGGCTGTTTAGGAAGCCGGTGCCACCTCCTTCCCTAGCAGCTGGGCCCACAAACATCTAGCCGCCCTATTGAGGGAGGGTGCAGAGGGCTTGTGAGCCCCATAGCTCCCTCTTGCACACGCTCGCCCCAGCACATGGTCCCCTAGCTCAGAAGCCTGTCACCACCCACCCTCAGGAAGCACACAGGGGACAGTAGATGAGACTTTTCTTGCTGGTCTGGCAGGACCCACTGCCTGCCATCCCCCCAACTCACCTCACACTGATCCTGAGGTCCTGGAGTCTGGCAGGCTGGCTGTACCTCCAAGGCTTCGTGCAGATTAATCTGGAGCAGCCTGTGGTTGAAGCTCAGGTGTGTGTGTACCTGATCCTCACAGCCATGCCTGGGTGTCCTGTGGGGAGGACAGCTACACGGAGGGGGCTGGGGACTCGGGCTGTTTGGGCACCAGGGTGTACATCTGAGTATGGACACAGCCCAGGTGGGTGACAGCTGTCATCCCTGTGGTCTTTAACACCTGCTACCTGGCCAGAACCCTTGGACAGGCTGCCCACTGTCTTTGGCATCAGTCTCTCTCATAAAGCACTTAGTATTCGATGATTGCCTTCCCAGTGTTCTGGCTGCACCTGTGTGCAGCCTCCTAGGGGAACTCATGTTTTGGAGTGGACCTGATGTGAACTTAGAATTCAGGGCCTAAACAGTGAGAACTGTGGCCGTCACCCATGAGGACACTTGTAGCAGGGCAGGGGCTGTTGGCCTGAATGCGTCCCAGTCACACGCTATACCTCTTGGTGGGCATGCAGGCCCCTGCAGTGGCACCCTGGCTGCACAGGGAGCTGAAGGGCTGAGAGGTGAGGTGTACATGCTGTAGCAAGCCGAGGGTCCCTCCCCACAGAGCGTGTACTGCCAGCCTCGTGCCTGTCCCTCTGCTGACCCGGGTGGCAAGCCGAGAGTCCCTCCCCACAGGGCCTGTGCCACCAGCCTCTTGCCTGTCCCCCTGCTGACCCGGGTGGCAAGCCGAGGGTCCCTCCTCACGGAGCCTGTGCCACCAGCCTCGTGCCTGTCCCCCGCTAACCCAGGTGGCAAGCTGAGGGTCCCTCCCCACCGGGCCTGTGCCACCAGCCTCTTGCCTGTCCCCCTGCTGACCCGGGTGGCAAGCTGAGGGTCCCTCCCCACCGGACCTGTACTGCCAGCCTCTTGCCTGTCTCCCTGCTGACCTGGGCAGCAAGCTGAGGGTGCCTCCCTATGGGGCCTGTGCTGCCAGCCTTGTGCCTGTCCCCTTGCTAACCTGGGTGGCGTCCACTTGAATTTGGCCCAGTGGCTTGACTTCCTTCCTTGAGGACGGTGGAGGGGAGACTGGGCTTCTTCATGGCAAATTCTGTCCCTTCATCAGCCTCAGCCCTTTCCCTGGCACCTCAAACCTGTGGACAGGTATGGCATGGGACGTCCTCAGGCTGCCACTCCACCTGGCCAGAGTGTGATTTATGACTGGCCAGAGAGTATCCAAGCGCATCCCTACAGGAGAGGCCCCCGCGGCAGTGTTCTCCTTCTTGTGGTGTGTTGCTGGGGGCGGTCACATCTGACCCTGCCCCATGATACTGGGCCATTGGCTGTGGCTGGAGCTGGGGTGGAGGTAATTAGAGGTGGAGGACCAAGAGGAGGACCTGGGCAGGTGTCATGGAGGTGCTTGATGTGCTGTGGTGCTCAATAGGTGTTTTGTCCTATCACCACCGTGGCCTACTGCTGTGTCTCCTGTCCGCCCTCTACAGGCTCGAGGACCAGCTCAGTCCTGCAAGTGGGTAGTGTGGCCAGAGGGGGTGACAGCAGCAGCCCAGGTGGGAGGGATAGGGAAGGGAGACTCCCATTCATGCTTCTACCCAACAGAAAAGTGCACTTGTGCATATGGATATGTACACGCTCACCAGCGTGCAGAGTACACATGTGCACACTCACATGTGCTCGGTCACACGTGGTGCCTGCGGGATTAAATGGCACTGCTGGCCTGTCCCACCGAGCTCTCCTTCCATATGTGAGCAGGAGAACAAGGCCTTGCTCCAGGCGGCACCTTGAGCCAGTTGTTCTCAGGGCAGGCACGGTCACTCCTATGCCATTCGTGTCCACAGCACGTGGTCAGTGCTGAAAATGGCCTCTCAGCCAGTAGGACAGGCCACCCAGCTCCAGCCCTGACCTTGGCACACAAGGAGTAGAGCCCTCTGCCCAGAGGCCGAGGGGGCGGGCAGGCTTGAGGGCCTTGGGGGAGGTGTCGGTGCTTCTGTTTGCTGGAAGTGGTGCTGGGCCTTGGGGTTCTGCTGGCCCTGTGTCCAGCCTGCGTTCTGGAGTTGCAGTTTGGTGGCATCTCTGCAGGTGCGTTTCTGACTCAGCTCACCAACACCTCAGTGACGCGGTCACACTTACTGGTGTCAGTGGCTGTGCTGGGTGGGATTGTGACTGTGCAGGAGCTTTGGGAGAAGGAAACATAGCCTATACCTGTCTCTCAGCTGAGGCCCCTGCAGAGAGATGTGGGCGACAGCTCTGCCTGGCCTCAGCTTGGCCCAGACACCTAGACATCTATGCCCCGAGAGAGGCCCCCTGTACCCTGGGCCTGGGCCAGTCCTGTGACCTCTGCCACAATTGTGATTTCTTGGCCTTCCTTTTGCAAATAGGCCAAGGAGACGTCAGTGCCCCTAAAGTGTCATGCTCCAGGAAAATGTGCAGAAAGCAAGAGATGTGTTGAGGGCAATGCACGTCCCCAGGGCTTGCGGAGCCCCCCTCAGCCCTGGGGCCTGGAGCATGGTTCCCCATGGACCAAGGAGGGTCACAGCCTGTGCCCAGTGTATGTATCCACAGGTAGGGTCCCTGGAGGTCTGTCCACCCTGCTTTGGAGCTCCTTAGGTAGCCAGCCTGGGCTCCATGTGGGTCAGGGGCCATGTGGTCTCAGAGGTAGATGTGTATGAGGCCATCATGCTCAGGGTTATGCATCTGGGGATGGTGCATGCACATGGCTCTCCCTGTCTCTGCCTTGGCATGAACATCCACACTGATGCAGACATCTGAGGTCCCTCCCAAGTCCCTTCTTATTCTAGGGTTTTCTGTTTCCTCTTTGTGTCACCTCCCAACTGGCCCTGGCAGCACACAGGACTTTGCTGGGCACCAGTGTCCAGGCAGCCCCAAGACCACACAGCTCCCAGCATGAGCTGCCTGTGGCTTTCAGCCCTGGGTTGGGATGGGCAGTGGCCTGACCCCCAACCTCCATCCTGCCTTCCAGGAGACATGCTCTTCCAGATGGCCGAAGTCCACAGGCAGATCCAGAATCAGCTGGAGGAAATGGTGAGTCCAGCCTCCAGGGGTGGCAGCTGGGGCAGGTGCCGTTGGTGTCAGTGGAAGAGCTAGCTGTGTGCCGTGGCCGTGTGCCCCTTGGGGACATTTTGTATTAGGCCACAGTCAGTGGTGGGGACCTTAGGACACACTGAGATACCAGGGAGACAACTCACCATAGGAGCAGTGGCATGGGCCAGACCATGGTCTCACACGCCACTGGCCATCAGGCTCAGGCAGGATTCTGGTCACATCCCCAGATGGATGCTATTCCAGTGGCTAACAGGGCCAGAAAGTCTGATTTCCTTGGGACTCTGCCAACTGCAAACATACGGAAATGCCCATGTCCCTAAACCGTGGTGTCCCTACAGCACAGCGTCCCTGAACCGAGGTGTCCCTACACCACAGCGTCCCTGAGCAGTGGTGTCCTTAAGCCACAGTGTCCCTGAGCAGTGGTGTCCCTATAGCACAGCGTCCCTGAGCAGTGGTGTCCTTAAGCCACAGTGTCCCTGAGCAGTGGTGTCCTTAAACCACAGTGTCCCTGAACCAAAGCGCTTTTCTGGCCCACAGTTTGTAGCATCCAGTCTAAAGTGGCGGCAAAGGAATTGACGAGGTCCCCCCAGTTTCCATTCAGGCCCTGGCTCCAATCAGCCCATCTGAGTGACCCTAGCACTGATGGGTCTACAGTGTCGGGACTGACTGACGTCCCCAACGCCTGCTCCATACTTGCTCCATCTACCACCTGGCTCCATGGACCCCAGCCATACAGGGTAGGGGGTTTCTCTTTCAGGTGGGCTCCCCAGCACGTCAGGAGCCCAGTGTCAGGGCATGTTGTCACCATCCACTGCCCCTACCCTGGCTCCTACCTTGGCCATGTGTTAGAGTAGCCTACAGATTGGTTTTTTCTCCACATGCAGCTAAAATCTTTCCACAACGAGCTGTTGACACAACTGGAGCAGAAGGTAGAGCTGGACTCCAGGTACCTGAGTGTAAGTGTACCCGGCCAACCCACTGGGCCCCCGTGTTCAGGCATATTCTCTGGGACCCCCATGTCCAGCGTTACCCACTGGAGTCCTCGTACCCCAGCCTTACCCACTGGAGCCCCTGTGCCCCAGCCATGCCTGCTAGGTCCCCATGTCCATCCATACCCACTGGGGTCCCCATGTCCTGGCTTGGCTCCTGTGCTCCAACTATACCTGCTGGGTGCCTGTGCCCTGGCTCTGGCATTCACCTCTATTTTAAAGTCCCTTTCAAACTCCTCTGAGCTTCTTGTCTGTCTGGGCCCCCAGTCTTCTGACATTGTACCCATATGAGACTCTGTGACCCAGTGTACCCCAGATGCAGCCCTGTGGGAGCCCCACAGCTGTCCTGACATCATAAGTACCCAGTGCTGGGTACTGGGACTTGGCTGCTCCCAATGCCTCATGGGCTCCTTCTCTGAACTCTGTAGTTTCCTTACATTCTCCTGGCCCTGGCCTGGCCTGCGCAGCTGCTCCAGGGTGGGTGGGAGGTGAGACACAGCTGCCTTTTTCATCTGTGCCTGGTTTTCATCTCCAGGGCAGAGGCTCCATTGCAGTCTCCCCATGCTGGCCACAGCTGAGCCTATACCGGCATCCTGTGGGTTTCAGGCTGTGGGAGGGAAGGGTGCAGGGTCTGGACAGTGGCAGGCTCATGGGTCTGCGTTTTGTGTGTTGTTTGAATGTCAGGCTGCACTGAAGAAATACCAGACGGAGCAGAGGAGCAAAGGCGACGCCCTGGACAAGTGTCAGGCTGAGCTGAAGAAACTTCGCAAGAAGAGCCAAGGGAGCAAGAACCCACAGAAGTACTCAGACAAGGAGCTGCAGGTGCGTCCTGTGCGGGGCAGAAGTACTCAGACAGGGAGCTGCAGGTGCGTCCTGTGCAGGGCAGAAGTACTCAGACGGGGAGCTGCAGGTGCGTCCTGTGCAGGGCAGAAGTACTCAGACGGGGAGCTGCAGGTGCGTCCTGTGCGGGGCGTGGGGCATGGACTTCTGTGGCATGGGGACATCTTGCCCCCCGTCTTAGCAAGCAGGTGCAGGAGGAGTGTCCCCCTGTTTGTCACAGGGAGTGGACACCAGCCCCCCAGGTTCAGTGGGTGGGGCTGGACTCTCCAGGTTGATTTCTGGAGTAGCAAGTGCCCAGTGTCCCAGAGCTGGCACTGTGGCCCCTGCCTTGCTCTCAGCAGTCCTCAGAGGTACCAGAAGGTTCTTGGCCCTCAAAGGAGCAGAAACCCCGATGAAATCCTGCTCCTTGGCCCCTCCAGAGTTGGCTACAGACTCACTCTAGTCCACTTGTAGTAGCTGCCCTGGGGCTGGCTGGGCATTTTTCACCTTCTGGCTCCACAGGTGGCACCAGAGGCTCCAGAGAGGGCCCGGCTGTGGTGTTTCTGATCTGTGCACTGAGCAGGCTTAGCCACATGGGCATGGCCCCAAGGCAGTGCACCAACCTGGGCCTGTCCCAGGATATAGCCCAGTGCACAGACTCCCTCAGGTCATAGCAACAGGGATAGAGGTAGAAAAATACATATCACCCAGTTGTTGTAACCAGGTGGGTGTGGGTGTGGGTGTGGCTCTGAGTCTGGCTCTGACTCTGAGGTCCTACCCTTCCTGCTGGGCACCAGGCCTCAGCAACCCTACCACCCTGCCCATGTGATCACGTGTGTTTGTGTGTGCACATGGCCAGCACTTGCATGCCTGCTGGAGTCTCTGGCCCCTGCTCCTCAGTGACCACAGGGGAGCCGAGCAGATCAGCCTCCTCTGTGGGGCTGCCTGATGGAGCTGGGGTCGCTGCAGAGGCCTGAGGGACACTGCATGTGTCTTTACGTCTTTCTTCTTCCTCTGATCTTGGTGTGTTTTGCGGTTTTGCTGTCTGAACATTTGAGCAGCAGACATGCCCCACCTGGGCAGCAGCCCCCAGTGCAGTTATGGGCAGTGTGACCGTGGTTAGCCTCTGAACATCAGGGTCAGGTGTGAGAGTGCTCCCCCTGCCTGGGCAGCAGCCTCCTAGTGCAGGTATGGGCAGTGAAGGTATGACCATGGTTAGCCCCTGAGCACTGGGGCCAGGTGTGAGAGTGCTCCTTAAGAGAGAGTCTTCTAGGACTGACTTGGTGGCCCAGGGATGGAGACACAACAGCGGGCCCACCTGGGTGTCCCGTGGGGGTGGCCAGGAGCCAGCCCCTGCTCCAGATGCTGTGCGATTCTGTGGCAGTGCTTTGAGGAGGCATAATCCCATGACCGACATTCATCGTTTATAGGGTCACTTCAGGGACATAGCGTCTTCCCAGCCATTTGTGGCGCATCCCTTTTGTGTGCCCCTACCCCCCGCAGTTACCAGTGGGCTTTCTACCTGGAGATGGCCCTGCTCTGGACACTTGGTGCAGCTGAGCCCACAGCGTGCAGCTTGCACACTGGTGTTGTACAAAGCGTGGCGTTTCAGGGGTCACGTGTGGTAGTGTGTTAGTGCGTGCACAGAACATGGCCTTTAAGTATGGTGTTTGGGGGGATCACATGTGGTGGCGTGTCAGTGTGTGCACAGAGTGCATGTTTCAGGGGTTGTGCGTAGAGGCGTGTCAGTGCATGCACAGAGTGCAGTGTTTCAGGGGTTGCGTGTGGAGGCGTGTCAGTGCATGT